GTGCTTTCCCTTTTTTCAGCTCAGCTTTAGGCAGACAGAGTGGGTTTGGCCCATGACAAGCTCCAGCTGATGTGCACTCAGAGTCATGCAGCTGCTGCTCAGAGCCCATAGCAGTGGTTCTGCAGAGCTTGCTCAGTTCCACACCAACTGAGAAATTCAGGAGAACTTTGCTTAAATTCCTAAAGAGGATTTAACTGTGCAGTTCATCCTGTAATCCCCCTCCAAATTAGGGGGTTGCCAAAGCACAGCACAGCCAGAAGCACTTGTTGACAGTTCTGTGCAGTGTGAATTACCAAAGGAATTGTGTAACTTACAGTGCACCTGTGTGACCCCTGAGACCTTCCTAGCATAGCTGTAGTGACCTGTGTCTGCTGTGGTCACTGAGGGCTAGACATGGGCGTTACATCCTGCCAGTTGTTCTGCAGCTCTGACACTGTAAATAGCCATTTCCTCTCCTTTCCTGATTTTATTCTGATTTTGATGTCTGTTGCTTAAAAATCTGATCAAGAACAGTTGAGTGTAGAGACAGGAAAACCAAGCGACTGATGCCCATTGGAACCTGCCTGGGGAGGTGGCTTAACTTTTCGGTGCCTGGCAGCATGTCTGTACTTGCAGTGGATGTTCCCTTGGGAATCTGAACATCTCTGGCATTTTTGGGAAGGGGGGTTAAGTCTACTGGCTTCTCTTAAGTGACTTACTGTAAAGATAACGTGAATTCTAAATCATCAGGTTGGAAGATGATGTTGGTTGTCCCTCATCAGAACTGATGGGGAGTCTGGGTGTCTCTGGGTCAGGTAGGAAAGAGAAGGGCCCAGAATCTTGTAATACACCCAAATGGATTCCTGGCTGAGATTGACTATTTGTCAAGTTTGACACTTAATGCTAAATTTCAGTACTTCCAGACTGTGCCTGTAAACTTGCCATGTCTATAATGGTGAAGGTGCCAACAAATGTACCAATCACAGTAAATTCACTTTTGAAATAGAAAAAGGCACCTCTTGTGCTGGAGAAGGAACATTTCCTAACAGCAGCCTGTGGTGTAGGACCAAAATCCCACTGTATTGTCTCACAGGAATTCCTCAGCGTTTTGCTTTATGCTCTGGCTGCATTAACAGAACTAAGGAATTCTTGTAACTCTCTTTAGTGAGCAGCTCTTTGGGATCTTGCAGACTCAGTTTATTTTTTAGTGGTGCACTTGATTTTTAGTTTTTCTTAACTCACAGCTGCCTTGAGTGAATCATTCTGGAAATTTGTTACTAAGGAATTTTAAGAAAATATTCTTTTTCTAAAAAAAAATATTTTTTTTTCCATAGAAGTGTGTTTTGAACCAATTTCCTAGTCAACACCTTTGCCAAGGCAGGTGCCATTTTTACATTCTGGTATTAAAACTGGTTTCTACTTGGGAAACTCCAAACCCAATTTTACAGCTGTATATAACTTTTCTTACCAGTTCAGGTAGCCTGTAACCATGGGAATGGCTCTCGTACAGGTGTTACTGCAAATAACCTCACTGTCATTGTTGGATGGCTGTTGGATTCAGCTGCTTTTAAAATAGATATAAGGAACACCAACTACTCGTTGATGAGGTGTCCAAAGGCATCAGAGCTCTGCCCACCTCTGCTCCAGGTTCCCCTGGCTCCAAGGGGGCTCCTGTGTCAGCACAAGGAGACCTGGGACAAGCCTGAGCACCACGGGGGAAACAGCATTTGCTGCATCTTGGGAGCTTTAAGGAAGCCTGGGATAGATCCTGCCCAGGTGATGTTTGCTGTTTCATTACTGCCCTGGATGTAGGTTATGGTTTTAAACCTGCAGATTTCAGTACCACGGGCACTGTGTGAAGCCACTAAAGACCCACACAGGCTGTGGCATTCCCTTCTTTAGACTGTCTGTGACCTTCCAAGGTCAATGCCCCTACTGAAGTGGAAGTGGCTTTAATGGTGAAAGCTCAAACTCCTCCTACTACAGGGAAGGTAATAAAATGACCCTTCATGGGTTATACTTAAAATGTTTTATCCCAGCTTTGAATCTCAAACTGGTGTGTGCCTGTAGGTAATGGGTGTGCAGCTTGTGTGATCTGACTGCACTGTGACAGCAAACTCACCCCAGCAGGTCTTGCAGCACTCATGGGCACATCTTCACTGGCCTTAAATGTTTGTTGCCAAACTACATCCTCAGCTGAATGTCAAATGAGTTGTCATTACACAAGTGGAGTGGCCGAGAGCTTTGTGCCGTTATGCAAGTGGAGTGGCCGAGAGCTTTGTGCCCCACAGTGGCAGGGTGACTCTTGCCCAGCCTCTCGGTTGTGGCTTAGGAAGTGGAATCATGCACTTGGTGTAACAAAGTTATTTTGTTCAGGTAGAGTTTGTCAGCATTTTCTAAGGAGATTTAACTTTGCAATAGAGAGTTCTCCATTCAGGCAAGCACCAGCCTGGGCTTGTTCCCGTGTAGACTCGGATACCTGTTTATTGGATGAGATAGTGGTTGAGATTCTGGAAACCACAAGAAGCTGCTGTGTGGCATCATGATGTGTACTCCAGTAAGGTGCCTGTTTCCATCTGTCTCCAGTCCTTTTTCTTCCAAGCATCACTGTCCTCTGCTGTGCTACACTGCAGGTATGTGGCAGAGCCGATAGCTCAGTACATTGACCAGGAGACAGAGAGATACACTCCCCATTTGAACCAGAACACAGGTTAAATAGGCTTCTCCCCCTCGTATGGACAGGGCCTGGCCCTGCCTTGGCAGAGCTGAGCTGGTGCAGCAGCAGGTCCCAGTGTGCTTTCTGTACTGCATGGGTTGGAAATAGTTAACTCTTTACTTCAGTTGTGTAACCGCTCGTCCCACGATGAAGTTCACATTAATTACTTTAAGGTGGAATGAAAGCATTGTGAAAACATTCCAAGAGTTGTAGTCTCTCCTCTCTGAGGACACTGTCACCTCCACTAGGTTTAGTGCTGTGCTTTAAGATGTTGGTGAGAGTATTGGCTAATTGGACTAGTTGGTATCGATGGTTGTGTAGCAGAATGGCTGGTTTGAGATAGCATTTCCTGTACAAGTACTTAGCATGGGTTGATGGTGCACTTTGTATCCAGTACTCTGGCATGCATGCTGGTCACACTCCTCCTACACTTCAGAGGCACCAGAGCCTTTTATCCAATTGCTGGTTATGTAAAATACATGCAGAATGTTAATGCAGTGTTGTTATGGTAAATGTGTGAACAGTGTTACTAATTGATATAACTGATAACAGATTACATGTGCCTGACATTCTTATACCACACAGTATGTTTAGGTTTTAACTAATATGGACTTCGGTGGAATAGTCTTAGGTATTTCAAGCCTTTGTTTTACTTACACAATGGTGCTCTCTTTGTGTTTTTTCTCCTTTTTTTTAAAAAATAAAAGCATCTGAACACTTGTAGTACATATTACATCCAAAGGAGTCCAAAACAAAATGCTTCGAAACATGCTTGATTTTACTTTGCCTTTAGTTCCCAGCATCTCTCATCAGCTTTTTTGTTTTGTTTTTACTTGTTGCTGACTACTTTGGAAAACTTTGGTAATGTTACCAATTACGAAGTGATTCTGCACTGCCTTTGGATTGTGTATGTATTCAGAAACAGTCTTAAAGCTTTTATTTAAGCTATTAAAAAACCAGGGACTTGTGCCATTTGTTCTTTAACAGTGCTGTTGTAAAAAGACTTCCCTGTGACAAAAAAAAATCACTTGCTATGAACTCTGTTTATAGCTTTTTTTTTTCCCCACGATGGATCTTTTTCTTTGTATTTGTACAGTGGCTCAGTGAAAGATGTTGCCATGAGTTGATATTGTAACCAATAAACAAGTGCTTTTAACCAGCCTGGGTCACCTGTCAGTGGTGTGTTGGAGCATTCCCTGGCCTAAAGGTGTCCCTGTGCCATGGGATGGGGTTGGATCAACCACACCTTCACACCTGGGAGTGATGTGCAGGTCCTCACCTTGGACAGAGCTGCCAAAGAACTTACTGGAGCACAGGGGTAGTATTTTTTTAATAAATAACTGTAGAACACATGCAAGTTTTATCTTGATAACAATGTCAATAAAAATGCTCCAGAAACAGAGCACTGATACAGAGCTGTGCCCTCAGCACCACGTCAGCCAGGCTGTTACTCACTGCTGGATTTCAGTTCCCCTCAAACCTCCCAGATTCCCTGTGTACATGGCTACAGACAGTCCATGTGAGCTGCAGAGTCAGGAACAAACCAGGACACACTGGTGGAACAGCCTTCCTTGGCTCTCCCTAACTGCCTCTAGCATTACATCTTACATCTGTTTCCTGGCAAGGTAAGCCCTTAGTTACTGCAAAACAGCAAGTCCTGACACCTTGGAGTTGAGTATTTCATTTAGTCATGTTAACACTGCCATAAAAATATATATAAATGTTCTGAAAAGGCTCTTTTAAAATAAGTTAATTTTAAAACTTCTGGTTAGAAAAAATGCAGGTGTTGCCTGACTGCAGCTGGCAAGAGCAGAAACTTTTAAAAAGAGGCTTTGCATTGCTGGAGGGGAGCAGAGGTGAAGGACGCAGTACAACCTGCCTGGGGGCTCACCTAGAAGAGACCTGTTCTGCCCAGACCAAGGCCCTGGTGAGGACGCAGCCAAACCCCTTTTCTCTCAGCTCCCTGAATCCAGCAGCAGGAGCTCCAGGTGAAGCCCAACACCCTGAGCTTTCCCACCCAACCTGCACAGATCCAATCCAGACATCCCAGCCAACCCTCCTGTGCCTGGATGAGAGCTCAGTGGCAGTGACTCACAGGCACATACGCACATCACTGCCAACTGCAAGAAACAGGTTCATTTTTATTGACCAAGTGCCCTTTGGCTGAATATGGCCACACAGGAGTCCTGAGCCACTGCATTTCATTACTGCAGTTCACCCTCATCATTCTCTGCCCCTTGAGGAACTGCTGCCAACACACTGGCACCTGCTTTCACAACAAGTCAGGAGTCCTTTCCCCAGGCCACACACATGGAAAAGCAGCATCCTCCAGCCCTGGCTAATTCCTAAGCAGCTGGAAGCAGGAGACAGTGGTGACTGTGATAAGCTCTCTCCCTGCACAAGCTCCTGGATGCCAGGAAACAAGACTTGCCCCTGCTACATACTAATGAAAACCAGTGAGGACTTGGGTTTTTATTGTCAAGTGCCCAAAGAAATTTAGTGTTAAAGATAATGTTTAACCCAAAATCTGCAAAACATCCAGAACACTCAGAGTATCACAGCTCTTCCATTTGGTTCACCATCAGAGCCCCAGATTTTACAATAATAAGTGTAATCAGAATAACATTTAAAATATAAATCATTTCATGTGACTCCACAGGGGAGAAGTGTCACCTGTAGAACTTCTAGTTTGCCCTACAAAGGATCACCAGGAAGGTTTGCAACGACGTTTTATTTACCCTTTTGAAGAAAATGTTTAGTGAAGCGATCTAGCTCATTCTCCAGGTGAATGGCTTTATTTCTGGAAAACAAACAGAAGCAAAGGATTCACTTCAGTGCAGGAACAGCCCAAAATAGGAAGAATTGGCATCAGTGTGCCATTTCTATTCCTCTAGGCCCAAGAACCACAGCACTAAGAAAACCTAAACTCAACTTTTTAGAAGGTGTGTGTGAGGCCAATGTTCACCTGATGGTGGTGGTGGATGCCCAAGGCCAGGAGGCAGCAACAGAGCCCTGAGCCAGGGCAGCCTTACACCAGAGGAAAAGAACAGGAAACTACACCTAGTTGTAGTTGGTTTATTGCTTCCAAGTCCCTGAGCCACCAACTGCTGGAAGTTTCTCCACTGCAAACACCTCCCTACTGGCACTAGAACACCAGCACTGCACTGTGTGACTCAACACAGCACAGCTGCTCTCCTGCTCTGCTGTGGGGACAGTGCTTGGGAAGGTGCCACCCTCAGTTACCTCAGGAGATGAAAATTCTGGAGAAAGGCCTCCCCACTACACTGGAGAGACAAAGGTAAAGGTGATCTGAGAAAGTGTTTGTGGAGCTTTGCTGATTCACCAAGGCAGAAGCAAACACTCACTCTGATGTGACCACCCTGAAGGCAGCAGGACTAAGAGATGCTTGTGGTCAGTCACACCCAGACTTACCTCAGCTGCTTGGAGTTGGTCTGTATATTCTCCAGCTGATCTATTTCTTTGGAGAGCTTAGCAATTTCTTCTTCCAGGTTCTTCTGGGTAATATCCACTTGCTGACAGAGCCGAGCAAAGGTAGTGGCCATTTCCCTAAAGGGAAAACAAGTTTGTAATCATCATTTAGAGAAGTAAAGACTTCTATGTAGACTCAAAAAAAATAAATAAATGCAATCTTGTGGCACTGCAGAGTGCAGAACACAGCAATCAAAGCTTCCAGCTATGGGGGGTTACAGAATAGCAGAAAGCAGGAGATTTATGTACTTTTTTGGAATTAGAAACCTTAAACACCCAAAATGCAGCTCAGTCTATGCCAATATTGTGTCTGGCCATCTTGCATGAAGCATCAGCAGGTACAGATGGGCTGTGGCAGTCAGAGGTGCTGGAGCAGCCCTGTGCCATGCTCAGCACCTGCTGACAGGGACACGAGCCCTGTGCAGGGTGAGAGTGCCCCAGACCAGCCTATCTGCCTCCTCAGCCACATACACATTCCCAACCCAAGTTCCAAGGACTCCTCCTTACACAAAGGGCAAACAAACCCAGTTACCACCCCGGGCCAGCACCCAGGCTCTCCCATAGGAGAGGAGACACACTGTCCTCTACTTCACCTCACTGGAGCACTGGTTTGAGTCCAGCTCTTCCATGTCCTCACAGAGACACACAGCAGCTGGACACAGGGATGAGTCTCTTTCCTCTGGTGAAGCTGAACTTTGTACTAGTAAAGTATTCCCTGGGCTATACAGGAGAGGTGTTCTGCACCCTGGGGGTTAGAGGTCTCATTAGCAGGCCTAATTCTCTAAAACAGTAATTGAATCAAAACAAACTGTTTCAACAGGAGAGGCTGAGAAAGGCAATCAGCCAGACATTACTTTGCAGAGACAGGTGGGAAAGTATTTGGGAAAAAGACAAAAGAAACGGAAAGGCTTTCAAGTTCCTCTTTGAAGTGCTGAAGAGCCAGGACTGGCTGCTCAGAACTCACCCATACCAACCCCTGGGGCAGAAGTACTGCTCACCCCTACAGGGACTCTAAGAGCAGAGCAACTCAGCCTCCACTAGCACTAACTCCCACATCTCCACTGCAAGGGGCTGGACAAGGAGCCACCATCTTCAGAGCAGCCCTGGCACAGACACACAGAGACACATACTGGCCCTTGCAGGTCACAATTCTACACTGTCTTCCAACTCCCTCACAAGAAATGCCAAGGGACCCTGAAGCTGCTTTCCCACATCATGCACAGCCAGTGCCCACAGCACTGTGGTGACGGTGGCCTGTCCCAGTGAGGGCACACGCCGTGTGACACTTACTGCTGCACCTGGTGGCTGCAGTTGGCACTGGTGAGGCTGACAATCATCTGCAGCTTTTCAGTGGCATAGTTCACAAACTGCTGCTTGAAGGCTCTCTCCTTTGCTCTGGTGGTCCAGGTCAGCCTCTCATAGAGGTACAACAACCCGTACATGCTCAGGGAGAACGAGATGAGCTTCCAGCCTACAGTTTTCCAAATCTGAAAAAGAAGATCTTCATTAGCTTAAGGAAGTTATTCTACAGAATAGAATCTAATTCCACCCATTTTTAAAAATCATCCTTTCACCAGATTAGTTTAGGAAAATATATTAGTTTAAGAAAGTCTATTCTTTCCATAGTATTACAGCAGAGCAATACAGCTCCATTCACAGGAGCTGGTCCCTAGTGGCATGGAGAATGTGCAGGATACAGAAGCCTCACTGCTCTTTCATGAAGCAAGAAGCAAAGCTCCCACTAAATCTAAACTGAATCATCACAACATCACCCATTAATTCAGACACTGAACACGGACCTATGGCATAGAGAACATGCCCAGCTCTCCTCACAGTAATTAGCCTGATTTTCTCACTATGAACAGACTGTGGGTACCCAGGGCACTGCATGTGCTCATCTGGCCCAGTGACAAGTCCATGACATGCTCCATGCTGCACCCCAAAGAGGCCAGACCAGCTCAGCCTCTGCCTCCCCTTCAGCACAATGAATGCTGCCAATGCTACTTGCCACTCCGCCAACCACGATGATGCTCATAGAGGTCCGAGACGTCAGTGAGGCTAAACTCAGTACCAAGGGCACCATAAAGTCATCCTGGGACACGCTGTCTGGAGTGAGGGCAGGAAGGCTGGTGGCAGACGGGGTGGTGGCTAAAGGATGAGGGATCTAGAAGAGGGGAACATGGCAGCCTGAGTAAAAAGCATTCAGGAACTACACAGATTAGGTTTCTTTTATTTTCATATATTCAGGGTTTGATTTACTCAAAGGGAACCCTTCAGCACAGAACCTTTGGGAGAGGTGCAGGCTTGGACAGTGCCTCACCCAACAGAGGCAGGGTTAGAATAAAGGTCCTGTGTAGGGCTGGCTCTGACCTAAGGATCCAAAAGTTACAAATGGAAGAAGCTGCCCAAAGGGTTCAATCCACAGGAAAACAAACTCAGGTAACAGCTGCAGAAAGTTTAGTTGTTTTTAGTTCCATTCTAACCCTGAATATAATCCAATAAAAAAAACCCTTCACTAATAATATTTCCCACAAAGGGCCTAGGGGAGAGCAGCAGCAAGTGTGTAAATAGCACAGGCAAGGAGTAAAAACCAATATATTCTCATCAAGGAAAAATAAGGCACCCAGTGGCAGCCCAAGCTCCCAAGCACTCACTTGTAGGTTTGGATCTGCTAGTCCCAGGAGTACTTTCTGAGCTTGTTTAGGACCCAAGAAACGGTTTACAAGTGAAGTCCACCCCAAAGAAAAGTGGAACATGATATCTTCTTGAAAATCTGCACACAGGCTATGACAGTTTAGATCATAGCTAAGGTCAAACTTCCTGCACGGTATTAGCAAGTGGAGCTGATTCTGAGCACTAGAAGGCAACAGTGGTTTCAGATTTTCTAGAAATAAAAACAAATAGCAAGGAGGAGTTAACATTCAAGATCTCACAGCATACTCACGAGCAGCAGCCCTGCACTGCTGACCAGCTCTGGGAACTGTAAGAATCTAAACAGTTCATTTATTTACTTATTTGTAAAATCAGTGGCA